TACTCTTTCAAGGCTCACTTAAAAATGGCCTCTGTCAACTTTCACTTTCCAGTTCATCTTCAAATAAAGATAGTTGTGCATTGGTTGGGGAATGCACCACAACTTCAGTTTAGTACCAAAGACTCTCACGGGGAAGATACTCTTTCAAGGCTCACTTAAAAATGGCCTCTATCAACTTTCACTTTCCAGTTCATCTTCAAATAAAGAAAGTTGTGCACTGGTTGGGGAACGCACCACAACTTCAGTTTAGTACCAAAGACTCAGCTATCCGAGTTCCAAGATCACAAACCACATTCTCAACAAGTTTCAGCTACCAGTTTCTAATAAACACAAGGACTTCTACAACTCTTGTCAGCTAGAGAAAAGCCACCGGCTTCCATTCCCTATTGGCTCTACTTCAACTTCACAACCATTTGAGATCATCTACTCAGATGTTTGGGGACTATAAAAAAAAGTCTGAGGATACTTAGTATGATCCAGTAGAACTTGTCCATTCCATCCAATGCTTTCAGTTGTTCCTTTTAGCTTCAACAAGACTTCCTTTGCATGGATGTTAGAGTAGCTTTCAGAATTCCCAGAAGGGCTAATCTTCTTAAACCTCAGATGATTGCCTAGAGTTTAGCTTCTGAGGAGTCAATTGCTTTGCATGGCTGTTATTCTGCAATGCAAACATTGTAGGAGTAAGATAACAAATAGAGACTTGTAGAAGCTAGGTGAGTGTTAATGTCCCAAGATCCATCCACAATAGCCAGGGAGTGGGTATTGAAAGAAAACCAATGGGTGAGAGAGAATCTACAAAATTTTGTTGATTATAAATTCCAACGAATTGAAGATTTCCTATTTGTGGAACATATCTATCTGCTAGTAAGGCAATGCCAAGAGGATTTGGTGTTTTTCCTCTAAGGCTCTGTTTGCTTTTCGGTAAGCTACTTACCCAAGTAAATACAATTACTTGGGTTGGGTATTTTTTCCTGGGAAACACTTACCCGAGTAAGTTCATTTACCCATGTTAGGCAAATAAGGTAATATGACCATTTTAGCCATAAAAATCCATTTTTAAAAGGGGCATTTTTGTCCCCCTCGGTGGGAAAATTATTTACCCACCTAGGAGATGAGTATCACTTACCCGGGTAAGTGATACCTAGGAAAATAAACTTTCTTGGTCAATGAGAACCAAAATCCCATTGACCAACTTTCCCCCCTCTCAAAATCCAATAAAAGAACACCCCCTAAAGATCACATCATTTCTGTGATTCCAAAGACTACTCAAGATGGATAAAATCCTAGACATGAAATAACCTTTCATCTCCTTTGTTCCCAAATATCTCTTCACGCGACCACCAATCCAGGAAGACAACTAAGCCTGATGAAATAAAATCCTCTGGCCTAAAACCTACTTGGGCTTCCAACCAAATTGCCCTCACCAGGCTGCATTCAAAGAAAAGATTATGCTGAGTTTCTAGGGCATTATTACAGAAGGTAGAGCAAATATCTCCTTTACGTCTTAAGCACCAATTTGCTTGTATTGTTTTAATTCCATTTATTAATTTCCACCCAAAGAGCTGGCATTTGTAAGGAGCCTTTATTGACCAGAGTTTGGACTGCAATGTCACCAATGAGATCACACTTGTGCCCATGTACATCTTAGTGTGCATTTGAAACATTTTCTGTACTTGTCAATGGAAGATGTTCCCAAATACACAATTGGGATGTGTTATGAGGCGCTTGTGGGGGACAAATGTGAAATCAACTTGATAAAGCAAAGAGTGGGAAGACACAAAGGATCCCTGTAAGGTTGCCATGCTTCTAAAAGGATATGTGCCTTTTTGAAGAACGGCACTTCACATAGAAATTGCCTCAATTTAAAAAGTGTAGCTGAGTAGCTAAGATGGGATATCCATCTCCTCAAAGTAATAGCTCTCACCACTCTACAAGCATAGGATCCAATTATAGAATTTTGTGGGTTTTTTTAATTCTAAAAATAAAAAAATTAAAATATGAGACTATTTAAATTCATCCACAAGCAATTAAATTAAGAAATTGAATGTAACATGGGGCATCTTTTTAACACCAGCCCATGCATCGCCATGAATCTCTACTAGTGTATATCCAGCCAGACCAGAGAACTCTTCCTTCAAACAAATGTCATTCTATTTTCTTAAGAAAGAGCATCAAAGAAGTGAATTGCCTCCACTCATAAAAGGTGGTGAAAGTAATTGAGTTTAATTTTAGGGAAAAAATGTGATTATCAAAACAATATCCATTTCAAAAGATGTGGGACCCCGGACTCATATTAATATGTGATTCAATTTCATTCATTATAAATTATTTCAATCGAATGGGTCTCATTTTTTAGATGAGATAGGTTATCAATTGCAAATTAAACTTGATTTAATTTTTTAAAACTAAAAATTCAGATTATATAAATAGCAAATCTCAAACATAAAATGTTTTTTTTTTTGATAGATTATATACCATATCTCAAACACAAAATGATATCAAAATGTGCATTCTCTTTGTAGCTAATATAGATGTTTGAGAATCGAGAGATATTTTCAAGGGTAAAAAGGCTTAAACCTCCCTTGAAGTTTGTTGTAAATACTGAAACCTTCCCTCTATGTTTAAAATGGAGTAAGACCTCCCTACTAGATGGATTAGTTGTTATTTCTAAAAAGGAGTTAAAATTTCTAATATACCCTTGTTTGATGAACAGAACAACACTCACTTCTGGATTGATTTGACCTTGACCCTCCCTTCATCCTCTTCTCCGACTTCTGCATCGATTCGCTATTTAGATGGTTGAAAGAATAGGCGATACATGAAAAACAAAATAGAAGATTCTAGTTTGTTAAGATGCAAAGGAGGTGAATGAAATCTGTCTTTGAAATAAACAGCAAAGAAAGCGAAACCAATTCTTAAACAAAACAGAGTGAAATTCTTCCGCCTTAATGTGGGAGTTTTCATGGATCAAGATCGTTAATGTTGAAGACTGAAATGTTAACACATTCCAAATCTGGTTCTATCCCTTCAATCTTGCTATACATATAAAACGAAACCAGTTCATCCTCCATTGAGTAGAAACGAAAACTAGGTGAAAGATCATCCATGGTTGCGCTCTTTCTTCCTCCTCCATTAAGTAAAACTAGAGCTTCCCAATCCATTCAAGCTTGTTATACAGATGAAAATAAACCGGGTTCTTCCTTCCTTGGGTAAAAACAAAAGGCAGGAAGATCCTCCATGGTTGTGTTCTTTCTTCCTCCTCCCTTGAGTAAAAATAGCTCTTTTTTGTCTCGTCACTTTGTTTTCTGAATTGTAAATTTCATGAATAAATTTTGGATGAGAATGACAGAAAAAAGAAGACCCAAGGTTTGGCAAAAAGTGTAGAAGGCATTTCACGATTTGCCAAGTGAACTGAGAAATGTTTGGTGGAAATTTTTACCATGCGTTTAGAGGAAGGGGGCAAGGTTAGGTTTTCCAAAAAAGTTCACACGCACACAAAGCCAAATTCAAATGGATTGATAACAGAAGGGAGAGGTCTTTATCCATTGACATCACTTGATAGGGGAGGACTTGGTCCATTTTGAAGGGAGGTATAAATCTTTTACCCTATTTTCAATGTACAGTCACTTAATTTGGGGAAAATCCATGATGCAGAAAAGATATGGTATGGAAAGAATTTTGGCCAATCAAAATTCATCCAATTTTAATAAATAATACCTTATTCTTTACCACCTTTATAATTCCAATTTATTGGTCAGTTGTTTTTAGGATATGCTATCTTTTCCATATCATAGTGGAACCCATTAATTTGTCATTATCAATCTAAACATTGAAGAAAAGCAATATAGCAAATGCGCTTGGATCTCCTACATTCATCCAAGATACTACGGTTGCACTGTTAGAATCTCCTGCCCATGAGAACTCTACCCACATCTATATCCACATGGCTAGATGTACATTGAGAATATACCCTATATTTGCATATTACCATTTATGGAGAGATATTCTCAAGATACAGCCGTAGTGTCTTGTGGTAAGAGGTCTGGATTGGTCGCACATTGGGAGCATCCAGGGGACCCAAGAGAGCCAATAGCCCCCTATGACGGCGAAATCTCCACTTTTCATGTATATTTTTTTCCTCCTACACTCTCCAATCCAATGGTCCATGTTTATTCTTCGAATTTGATCCCCACAAATCACGCCTCGCACCAACCACACAGCCCTGCATAGGAATTAATAGGTGATGTTTCAGTGCGGCTTCGAATTCTGTGAGGTTGGTGTGAATCCAAATGACCGATTGAAGGGGGAGGTGAGGAGCAAATCCGGACTCGGGTTACAGTGGGTAGGAGATTCCGGCAGATGTTGATCAACACCGGGAGATTGGCGGTTGACCAATTCTTTCAACTCTCAACGGTAAAAAGTAACAACTCCATAGTTTACAAGGTAACCAGATACCAAAAACTTACTAAATTCCGACCAAAACTCCCGTTAAAACTGGGGACTCTCCGCGTCCGCGGCAGTTGTTCACAACGCCATCCATTTCTCTTGTAATACCAGAAATGACCCTAGCTCATTTACTCATTGTTTACACTTTCTCCATTTTGAATTTTTTATCTCTTCCAAATGACCAGATTACCCCAAATCAGAGTTACCCACAGACGAATTGGCTTGAAAATTGCGATAATAACCTTTGTTTTTCCTCTTCGGTAAAATCATTAAAATTAAATTAAAAAGGAAAAAACCAATAGCTAGCGTTGTTAGTTGTTACGTTTCTACTTTACAAGCCTACAGGAGGAGGACCAGCCAAATTAATGGAAGTGAGGGCAACTATGTAAATTTATCCATTGATTCAGTGACCGTTTTTAAATCCTTATTAGCCTTCCTTTCACTTTTTTCTACTTTTTTTCTTCGGTTCCTCCCCCATACAAGGGAGGGGGCTAGACTCTGCAAACCGAAAAGAAATCGAGAGGACCCCCTCCCCTCCCCACATCGAGTCGTTCATGGAGTTCCTCCTGCTTCTTTTCTTCATCTTCATCTCCAGCATTACCACAACCTTCTTTGTCTCCTCTGCCCCCGTCCAGTTCACTCCCCCCGACAACTACCTTATCGACTGCGGCTCCTCCACCACGACCACCCTCCCCGACGGTCGAGTCTTCCTCTCCGACCAACGGTCAGCCAGCTATCTTTCTTCCAAAGACGACATCCAAGTTTCCGTCATTTCTGTTGATGGCGTCCCTTCCTCTCTTTATTTCACGGCCAGGATCTTTGTCCAGAAAGCCACCTATGCTTTTCGTATGTCCAGGCCCGGCTGGACTTGGATCCGTCTCCATTTCTTCCCCGTCAACAACACCGAATTCAACCTCCGAAACTCAGCCTTTTCTGTCTCCACCGATGATGTTGTCCTCCTCCACAGCTTTAGTGTCAACGACGATACTGGCTGGGTCATGAAGGAATACCTACTTAATGTCACCACTGAGCGTCTTAGCATCAATTTCCTTCCCATGAAGAACTCCGTTGCCTTTATCAATGCTATTGAGGTGGTATCGGCTCCGGACATCTTGATTTCCGACGTGGGTTCCATCCTCCCTGCCGGTGAATTCTCCGGCCTGTCTAATAAGTCGTACCAGACCTTGTATCGACTCAACATGGGTGGACCCATCATCACCCCTCAGAACGACACCCTTGGGCGAACTTGGGATTCCGACCAGAAATATCTGAATCCCAAAGACTTGGCGAAAAGCGTGTCCGTCTCTCCCAGCATCATCAACTATCCCGCTGAAGGCCTGTCACCCTTGATCGCACCCAACTGGGTCTATGCGTCCGCTGTTGAGATGGCCGATTCGAGTGTTTCAAAGCCTAATTTCAATGTAACATGGAAACTTGACATCGACCCGGCATATGGATACCTCATCCGGATGCATTTCTGTGATATCGTGAGCAAATCACTGAATGATCTCTACTTTAATGTGTACCTTAATGAAAAAGCGGCCATCTCCGGGCTGGATCTGTCGGCCATTACATCGAATTTGGCGGTACCTTACTACAGAGATTTTGTTTTCAATGCTTCCATGCTATCGCCCGAGACACTCATAGTCCAAATAGGCCCTCTGAATGATCACAACACAGGTACAGTTAATGCAATCCTCAATGGTTTGGAGGTGTTGAAGATGAGCAACTCGGTTGGGAGTTTGGACGGAGAATTTGGTGTTGATGGAACCAAAGCGGATGACGCATCTAGCAAAGGGGCTGTTGCAGCTGTGGGATTCGCTATGATGTTCGGAGCCTTTGTGGGTCTTGGTGCAATGGTGATTAAGTGGTATAAGAGGCCACAAGACTGGGAGAAGAAGAACAGCTTCTCTTCGTGGTTGCTCCCTCTTCATGCAGGACAATCTACCATCATGGGGAGCAAGTTAGGGTCTCACAGGAGCAACTTCAACTCATCGACACTTGGGTTGGGTCGGTACTTCTCGTTGTCGGAGTTGCAGGAGGCAACAGGGAATTTCGATCAAAATGCGGTGATTGGGGTGGGAGGGTTCGGCAATGTCTATCTTGGGAATCTCGACGATGGGACCAAGGTGGCGGTAAAGCGAGGGAACCCACAATCTGAACAAGGTATCAACGAGTTTCAGACGGAAATCCAGATACTGTCCAAGCTTCGGCACAGACATCTAGTCTCTCTAATCGGATACTGTGAAGAGAACTCAGAGATGATCTTGGTGTACGAGTACATGTCAAATGGACCCTTGAGAGACCATCTGTATGGGAAGAACTTGCCACCATTGTCGTGGAAGCAAAGGCTAGAGATCTGTATAGGTGCAGCTCGTGGGCTACATTACTTGCACACAGGTGCGGCCCAAGGGATCATACATAGGGACGTGAAGACCACCAATATATTATTGGATGACAACTTCATTGCAAAAATGGCAGATTTCGGGTTATCAAAGAATGCGCCTAATGCCATGGAGCAGAACCATGTAAGTACAGCAGTGAAAGGGAGCTTTGGATATTTGGATCCTGAATATTTCAGAAGGCAGCAGCTAACTGATAAGTCGGATGTCTACTCTTTCGGTGTAGTGCTATTGGAGGTTCTGTGCGCAAGGCCAGCCATTGACCCTGCTCTTCCAAGAGATCAAGTGAATCTGGCGGAGTGGGGTTTGCAGTGGAAGAGGAAGGGATTGCTTGACAAGATTATTGATCCAAGTTTAGTCGGAGTAATCAATCCTGAATCCATGAAGAAGTTTTCCGAAGCTGCAGAGAAGTGTTTGGCCGACCACGGCGTTGATAGGCCTACCATGGGAGACGTGCTTTGGAATTTGGAGTACGCATTACAGCTGCAAGAGGCTTCTTCTCAGGGTAAGATGATGATGATGGAAGAAGAAAATAATTATAAACCATCAACAGGTGCAGCAGCTATGCCTGTGGCCGCTGCTACATCATCATTGCCGGCGGTGGTTGTGGTTTCGCAGCAACCCGACCTTCCTTCTAGCCCAGACAATCGATCGCTGCTCGAATCCAACAGCAATTCTCCAGCACATGTACATGCCATTGATGATCATCCTGGAACTGCATTGATCCCTCAGACTCCAGGGATCAACGGTCGGTAATTAATTTGTTGAGATGAGATAGGTTTATCAATTGATAATTAATTTCTCGTGGAGTACTGGTCATTGCGATATATATATAATTGTTTCATATGTGTATGGAGCGGACCTATTTGGCTTTACTCAGACATTTGTGTGCCTTTACTAGGATCTATATATGTTTATTGGTGCTAGCTAGCTTTATCAATTTCATTCTGCCCCTTTGTTCCCTCTCTCCTCTCTCCTCTATGTATCTCCACAAAAAAAAAATCATGTAATATAATTATTAACATCATTAATTACCTATTTTTCATACATATATATACTGCAAGCCTTCATAATTTTTCTAATTTTATTAATATTTGATTTTTCTTTCTGAATTCCATTGAAGACCTATAAAAATTCAAAATGTCAAATACCCCATTCTATACATCAATGATAGCTCGTAAATTGACATCAATTCCAAGTTGGCACCTACCCCAATTGTACTTTGAGCCTAAGAATTCTGACCCTGGGCTGAACTGTCATTCTCCCAAAAAAATTGTATGTCATCATGGCATGTGTGTTATGAAAACCAGATCATTTACACCTGATCTTATTTAGGAGAGGCATTCTATTTCCCACATTGTTGTAAGAAGGCCCTATTTGGTTCGCAGGAATAGGAGTCTAGAATCGGAATTGTAATGAGCTATTGCAATTCTAACTATTTGATTGGGTGGAATTGGAGTCTCATCCTCATTCCTAATGGAATGGCATTCCCATATTTGAGGGAATGGCCATTCCCTGCCCCAAGGTTCAAAATATCAATATAGCCTGATATGTCAATAAGGGCGTATCGGGTTGTATCTTGGCTCACTCTTCTTTTTCTTTTAGTTTTTTCTTCGAAACTTGTTCACGGGGTCAGATTAAGGCCCGTCTACCCCCTACAATAGGTGGGACCCCAAAACACCTTGTGTAGGGGCGTATTGAAGGGGCCCCGATACGATACATATCGGCCAATATGCCTTGATATGTGACAAAATTTTGAACCTTGCCCTACCCCCTTCCTTGGGAATAAAATCTCATTCCTATTGATTCCAATTCTCATTCCTATTCTCATTTTTGTCTAAACCAAAGAGATTATGGGAATAGACCATTCTGATTCCAATTCCGAAGAATTTTAATTCAAATTCCAATTCCAACTGTAAACCAAATGGATCCTAATTTGTTTCAATTCCTTACCATCGGGTATCCCGAATTATCTATTTCCCTCACTTATTTGGTAATTGGAATCATACTCAAAATTCGCTGGAATGTATTATCGTTCCTAGGAGAGGGGGAGGAAATGGTGCCATCCCCTTAAAATTCGCTCGAAAACAATGCTGTAATCACACTGCCTTAGTATGTGTTTGGAACCATGGGCGTTTATTCACTAAACGTTTGTACTTGATTTGTTTGCAAAACTGAGAAAAATAATTATGAACCCATTTATTAACACTTAGGTGCCACTAGGCACCACATCAGCAAAACAGTGAATAAATGCCTATCCATTGCGGGAAGCGCTAAAATGAAGCTTCCCCCAACAATAGACGTGCACATAAATCAAGGCCTGCTTTTGCAAGTCTCTATGCGTACGGATTGTACATAATGGGAAAATGTTCAAGTGGCACCTATGTGGTAGTGTTTATTCAATAAACGCCCATAGTTCTAAATACACACTTAGTCTATGATTTTGACTTGCAATTGTTTGTGGAAGTCCTTTAAACTATGTTTGGTTTGAAGGAAAAAGTAGGGAAAGACAGGGAAACCTTTACAAACCTTGTAAAGGTTTCCCTGCCTTTCCCTTTCTTTCTCTACCTTTTCCTTCAAACCAAACATAGCCTTAGTGTCACTCGACAAAGAGGAACCTTTTTAGTTAATAAAAGGTTATCTTCCAATAGTATAGTGTGAGACAACATTTTCATGATTCCCTCCCCTTGCTGCTTTTCATCATTGACAGGTTGTGCAATCCAAAGTGATGTTCTTGGAAATCTAAAAACATAGACCATGTTTGGTTCAACTCTCATTTTTTTCATTCATGTTCAAGATAAAATTCTACAATGGACAAGAATAGGTAAAAATGGGTAAAATGAGAAAATATCGCTATGAATCAAACACTTTTTTCCTAAAAAATGAATTCTTTTCAAACTAACAAGTGCCTTACTTTGCTCATTTTTAGTCTTAAAAAAAAATGTGTTAATAGTCATAAACCACTGACCTAGGTCTCCAAAATCATCAGCATAGATGTTTACTGGTAGGATTGTCAATTGGACTGGATTTGGTTCAATCCGGTCTAATCCAATATTAGTCTATTTGTCCATTTTCAAATGGACTGGACCAAATCCATACAAACCAAGTCTAATCTAGTCCAAATAAAATGCACAAAAACATGCATTTTCCTCTGATGAAGAGGCATAAAGGCACAGATAATCTTGAAAACTAATTAAGGATTTTTTTTTTTTGTAACAAGAAAGTTTAACAAGAGGGAAAACAGAGAGCAAACAAACAAGAAAAACAAAAAACACAGACACGAAACAATGAACTAATTAAACAGGCCACCTTGGTTGGACTACAAGAGCACAAATCCTTTTCTAAACTTATAGATAGCCACCCAGCAGGAGGCGATCCAAAGAGAGAACATTCCACCATTAGGCCCTTCTCGGCGACACAAAGAGATAATAATAATCTCTTTCACAGACTAACGAACCAGAGAACAGCTATCGCTCTAAAAAATGACTCTGAACCAACCTTTGCGACAGCATCTATTCAAGTTCCTTTGCAACAGCATGTGTCTGTATGGAAAGTTCCCTTGTTGGGCAAATGGGCAAATGACAACAACACCCGTTCCATTACAATGAGAAAAATGGGTTTCCAGAACCAGCCCTTGCAGCTCCGATAACAAACATCCTGTTGGAGGGAGATTCAAAATTTCAAGAATCTCTCTCCTCCCTCTCTTGTTTTTGTCTTTTCCTCTTTCCACTCTTGAGTGCATGGGAAGACTCCTTGTCCCACATTGTTTGGGAAAGGAGTGGAAGTAGAATATATTTATAGCTTTGTTCTCTTTATGGGTAGGGACCCATAGGAGGAGAGCACTATAGATATTTCATGCATGTGAGGGGGTTGCGGGTGCTTTTCACACACACGCGCCTAGCCAAGCCGGGTTGGGTCATGTTGTGGGTGAGGGCAAGGGTGATTGTGTGTATGCGATGCACCGAATTAGTTTTTTGGTTTAATTGGATTAAACGAATTAAAACATGTCTATTCAAATTTTGAATTTAATTCTTTAAAAACGTTTTCTCTTTCCTTTCGTGTCTCTTCGAACATATTTGAGTCACCTTTCTTTTCCGTGTCTCTTCGAACAAGTGCACTGTTCTAAAGAGGCCCTATCTGAACGGACACCTCTATGTCCTTTCGGGTCTGAGAACACTCTATAAAAGGAGTGTTGGTCGACTAGTCTAAACACACAACATTTTTGACTCTCTGTCTTCTCTATAAATTTGAGCATCAGTCTTCTGTGGTTCGCGGAGGTCTAGTAAGCGAGTGCACGCCTACCAATGGCCTGTGGACTGTTTTATCTTGGCAACCGATTTACGATCACCTAGTTGCACCGTAGGGGGCAAATGCAGTTTTAAGGAGAGTGACCAAGTGGCATGACTCAGCCCTCCTTCTCTCTGCAACTTCTCAGTTCCGCAATTTTGCAACAACACACTCCTTCAAGTTCCGGTTTTGGAAAGCAATTACCAATAAGTTCCATCTGCCTTCTTTATTCTTTTACAACACATCCCCTTCCTCGTTTTAAATATTTTCCTTCTTAATTGATGAGTTATAGGAGAATGACGGTTCAACTTGTGTGGGTCGATACTTACCCTACCTCATGTCCAAAGCCCAAACCACCATAACTTTGCTCCATTTATCCTTTTGACTACATCCTCTCTTCTCTTGCACATGCAAATGTGCAAGCCACTCAATAACAATATTTTATCCTCAGCGTAAATCTATTTATACCAAAAAGGTATGATAGTGGAAGAACTTTGAACTAATGTTTTCAACTCGTTGATGATCCAGATGATTGAACCGTTCAAATCGTCACCCAATCAGGATTCCAGGGCTAGTTTAGTCAAAACCCATTAGGTGGTCAAAAATCATTGTCTTGGTCAAGAATTTTCTGTCCCAGCCGGTTTAACTATTGACTTGTTTGACCCAATCATCGGGTCGTAGGTTGCACCATCAATGCATGCAACTTTTGGAGGTCATAACTTTGCACTCCGATGTTCGATTGGGGTGATCTTTTTTTTATTTTGAGTAACTTTTCAAGACTTATGCGTCCCAAGGAGCGATAGGTGCCTTGCCTCACTATTTGCACGAAAAAACCTCTTTTTGGCCTGAAGTTCCAATTTTACAAAAATATTAAAACTGAAATAAAAACATAAATTAAATATAAAAATACATATAACATATCTAAAACATAATTATACATTATGTTTGTCTAAACTATTAATCCAGTCAATAATTTAATAACCAACTACAGAATGACTATCCTATATTAAATACGAGACCAATATTCTGATAAATTTTATTTGATATACATTACTTATCTTGTAAATTTAGATTATTTTTATTTGATATTTTTGATATATAGATTAGTTATTTAATTTAAGAGATTAAATTAAGCTTTATTTATAAGGGTTCGACTATGATGCTGAAAAGACATGAGACTGGAAAAATTATAACCAATCAACCAGCGGCATAAAAGTGATAACCAATCAAGTGGGTTTTCATCAAAATTTATAAGGGATTTTGATTGGTCAATGCCTTTCTAGTATCATGTATTTCCATCATAATAGATTTTTCTTATTTCTAAACAATAACCCACTTTTATGTATTATACATCATTTGAAATGAGTTTGGTTTTTTTTCTAATTTTTAGTGGAGTTAATTATCACTAACCTTTTTGAAAGTGAAAGTAACTACCATTTAAAACTCATACTTGTTTTGAAAGTGGGTAA